GCCCCCGCCCCAGGTACCTCTGTGCTGTCCGTGACCACAAACAGCTCCACGTAGTGGGTCTCTCGGGGCACTGGCCAGTTCTGAGGAGTGGGGACAAGAAGCCGTCAGCCACCCAGCCACAGCCCGCCTGTCCTCAGCCCATCTGTGCACACGGAGCATCTCCAGGCCCCGGAGCTGGCCCCACAGCGCTGGGGGAGCCTTGGTGGGAGCTGGGGGGCGGCTCTGGCGCAGACTAAGGAGCTGGCTCTGCAGCCAGCGCGCAGCCAGGCCCAGGCCCACCCCAGCCACGGGGGCGGCAGGCAGCACTCCTGCTTCGCTGGGCACCCAGGAGTCGGGATGCACGGGGCCAAGCGGACGCGGAAGCAGTGGGCAGGGCCTCCCCTCACCCGGGGCCTGAGGGCCGCCGAGACCCGCGGCCCCAGGATGGTCTCCAGGCTGCTGTCGTTGACCCCGCAGGTGCCGGCCTTCTGCTGCAGGTGCTGTGCCTGGTACAGCGCGTGTTGCCCCTCTTCCCCGCCCCCATCCAGGGGCTCGATCAGGTGGACGGTGGAGCCGGCCTGGAAGAAGCCCCTGAGGCAGAGCGAAGCCCATGGCTCTGAGTCAGCGACGGACCCCAGGGCAGCAGGTGACCCCGGCCCACCCCTCTCTTCTTGGCCTCAGTTCACTTAGCTGGAGAGAGAGACAGTGCTGGGCCCTGACACCCTGACACATGCCGCCTGGTCGGCAGCACCCACCTGAGCCCGGCGCAGGTGCTGAGGCTGGCAGCGGAGCCCTGGTGCCCCTCCACGTTGCCCTGGTACAAGCAGTGGTCCTGCGGAAGGAGAGCGTGAGGCTCCACTGCCAGCGCCCGCGCTCCCCGCACCGCCGCCGCCAGCGCCCGCGCTCCCCGCACCGCCACTGCCGGCCTTGGGGGGGTCACTCGGGGGGCCATACCTGCCTTGGCAGCTGCTCTGTCACCTGGGAGCCATCGGCGGCCGTGTAGGTCTCCACATAGCCCGAGCCCACCAGGTCCCTGGAAGAGAGCCCCCGTGATGCTCTGGGCCCCGCCTGCCTGCCCCAGAAGCCACCTCTGGTGTGGAAGAGAGGCTGGGCCAGGGAGCTGGATGCCCAGGACACAAGTGTGCTGGGGGCAGGGGTGGGAGCAGGCTGCAGGCTTAGGCCCCTGCTCACCTGTTCTTCCGAAGGTGCAGGGTGAAGGTGTGCCCTCGGGCCCCCAGAACGTAGCTCACACTCTCCGGGTACTGGCCCTGAGCCGGGAGAAAAGGGAGGGGTCCAGAGAGAGGGGCCCTGCCCTGGCCACGCCCACCTCAAACCTGGGGGTGGGTAGCACCGAGCCAGTAGGGGGAGGTGGGGCCTCGGGTCGAACCGGGGGCAGTGGGCAGGTGGGGAGCTCCACCCGCCTCGGAAGCGAGGCGGGGGACAGCCCCTGAC